AGGATGAAACTAACACTGAGCCTTGGAGGATGGCTGGAAGGAGCCGCTCTGGTGGCAATGCTGGGCTGCTGCGGTGCCGGCCCTGGAGCCCGCCCTGCCCTGGACTTTCTAACACGTGAGCTAAATATTTACTTGTGGCTTATGGGTTGGGGTTTTTGGTTTTTTGCTGAAAGCATCCTGCCTGATACTCCAAGTTTACTTAAGAGATTTCAGTTTATGCAAAGGAAACCCAGATGTGCTCCCAGTTTTATGGCACCAAGCTCTTGTGGGAAATGAGGTAGGGCTTTGATAAGGAAGGTGGCACCATGCTGGTTGTTGTGGATTGGCTGAGAGGCGTCCCTGTGCTGATGCAGCTCTGTCGAAGATGAGGGTTGGTAAAGGAATTGAGATATCCCTACTGTATTAGTCTCCAGTGAAACAGAACCAATGGGAGATGTCTGTGTGTGTATCGAAGGATACATAAAGAGAGATTTAATTTAAGGAATTGCCTCATATGATTATGGAGGCTGGCAGGTCCCAAATCTGCAGGGTGGGCTCGCAGGTTGGAGACCTAAGAGAGCTCTGATGTGGCAGTTCAAGTCCAAAGGCTGTGTCTGCTACACAATTTACTCTTGCTCAGGGGAGGTCAGGCTTTTTGTTCCATTTAGGTCTTCAACTGATTGGATGAGACCTACTGACATCATGGAGGGAAATCTGCTTTACTCAAGATTCACTGATTTAAATTTTAATATCATACAAAGCCACCGTCACAGAAACATCCAGAATAATGTTCAACCACATACCTGACCACCATGGCCCAGCCAAGTTGACACATAACATTAAGCATCACATCTGCCATAATGATGTCATAACGATGACAGTGAACTTGACACACACTTGGCAGATGGATGCTCAAAGATGCACTGGCTCAGTGCCCTTGGCAGAGATGTGGGATTTATACCTGTCCTCCAAGGGTCCAGAAAGGTGTCCCCTGTCACCACTCCAGGTCAGGGCTGCGTACTTCTCCTCTGGCAGACAGTCTACAATGGATACCCTACCTCTGATCGCTCCCCACTTCCATCATCCTTCTCCCTGATTGTGCCTCCCCACGTGCCCCTGCTCGTAAACTTTCAAAGGCTTCCATTTAAGGACAGAATGGAGACGAGGCTCTGAGCTGGCTCTTGAGCTCTGCACCACTGAGCCGCCTTGTTTCTTCCCATGTGCAGCTTCCGTTGCTCCTCATAATGTTGCCTGTGCTCAGACTATCCCCTTCTAGAGCTGCCAAGTGGATCTCAACCCGGATTGCACAGCAGCACCCCAGAGAGCTTTAGAAAGTTCAGATGCCTGGGCGCCACCCCAGACCAGCTGAATCACCCCGTCTGGGAATGGGGCCTGCAGTCCGCATTTCTGAAAGGACCCCACGTGATCCTGAGGCTCACTGGCCCTGCTCCTTTTTCCTTTCCTGAGGAAATACTACTACTATTAAAGGGCCTTCACAAGGCCCCCCTTCAGGCTGTCTTCCCTGACCAAGACCCTCTGAGTTAGCTCTGAGCCCTTCCCCCACTCCCCAGTTCTGCTCTTAGAGCCTGCAGTTCCTTCTGCATCGTGTCAGGCTCTCACATGTCTTGGACCCCTAGCGGCCACTGGGCCACCCCAGATTCCCCTGTGCAATGTAATATGGGCCTTGCTCGGCCACATTCTATGTCACTGTGCACTCTGCTCCCTCTCCTTAGTAGAGGTAGAGAAGAGGGTGCTTAGTCCCCTCTTCTCTACCTGATGAACTCCTCTTCAACCTTCAAAGCCTTACTCGTCATTTCCCTGAGGACCACTTTGCTGACCCTGTGGCAGGGCCATGCACACCCTCTCTGTGCTTCCCTCTCCTTCCAGTCCCGTTGGCTGTGGGCCTCTCTCCCGGCAGGGCGAGCGCATGCTGAGTGTGGTCCGTGCCGTGCTGCGGGTGCCCAGCCGGTGCTGGTGAAATGGACTTGCCGTTGCAGTGGTGACCGCCGCAGCCACCCTTACCCACATCTCACACGGGACTGACGCACAGTGGGCGTTTAAAACGGGCTTGCCGAACTGAACTCGAAAGAAAAGTAAATACGTAAATGAAAGGGAGAAAGAGAAGGGGGGAGGAAGAGAGTAGGAAGGAGGAAGGAATGAGTTGAAAGAAAGAAAAAGGAGAGAAGGGGAGAAGGAAGGAGGGAGAGAGGGAAGAAGAAAAGAATGCAGAATAAAAGGGAAAAAAACTGGAAGAAAGGAAGAAGAGTTGATGAGGGGAAGAGAAGGGGAGAAAGGAGTCGGAAGGAAGAAAGGATAAAATGAAAAACCCTATCGGAGTGAGGTAGTTGAGTCTTTGGGGGCGCAGTTGCGGGAGAGGGGCGTGGAGACACAGGCACAGTGTACTCTTTAAGAAGCCAATGTGAGTAGTGAGCGTGTCCCTTTTTTCCACTAAGTACTCAACCCAAATCCCCAAAAGAAAATAAACGCTCAGAGATAAACACGTCTTCTAGGGGAGTTTCTGTCCCCTCCCCAGGAACATTGCTGGGAAGGTTTCTAGAGCAGGGAAAATGGGTCCCAAGTGGCTGAGTCATTCGACACACGACAAGCAAATGGTCAGGGCTCCCCAGGAAGGGAGGCGCGGGTGGCACTCTGGTCGTCTCCACGTCCAGCCACACGGCCCCATCTCATCGCTGCAATGACAGCTGCCACCACCATGGTCCTCACCACCGTCCCTGCCCAGGGCTGCTCCGTCTCCAGGGCTGCCTCGGCCGCGCCACGAGCCTTTGCCCCAAAGCCACGGAGCCGGCTGCAGATGAACCGGATCCTGAGCGTGGCCAGGGCCTCGCCCCAGCCCGGGAACTCAGCCGTGTTCCAGCCTCTGTCCCGCTGGGCTGACGTGATTCCGCCTTCGCCCCCAAGGCTGGCCGGGCCCCCGCTGGAGCTGGAGCTGGGAACAGAGGTGGGGAACATTCTGGGGAAAGAGCCACTGGTGCGGGGCACTCTGAAAAGTTGGGACTGCTATCCCATTTTATAGATGAGGAGACTGAGGGTTACCGAGGACAAGAGACTTGCCGAAGATCGCACAGGCAGGAAGAGATGGCTCTGGAGTCTAAGCCCTGGCCTGTTGGTTTCTCAAGGCTGGTTTTCCCTCTCTGCCGCTGGCTAGCATGCTTGGTGGCAGGGCTTCATAGTCTTCTTTTGTTCCCAGGTGGTGTTTGCCAAATCGTTTTAAAGAAAAAAAAGAGAGTTGGCTGGGTACAGTGGCTCCCGCCTGTAATCCCAGCACTTTGGGAGGCCAAGGTGGGAGGATCACTTGAGCCCAGGAGTTGGAGGCTGCAGTGAGGTATGACTGTACCACTGTACTCCAGCCTGAGCAACAGAGCAGGACCCTGTCTCTAAAGAAAAAAAAAAAAGAAAGAAAAGGAAAATAGATATTTTTGTTCAGGAGATGACCCCTCTGCTCTACTCAAACTGGGCTCAGATGCAGCAGCCAAGAGGGCAAATGTCTTCCCCTAGGAGCTGATAGGTATTAACTGAGCCCAGATCCTCACTGCACTCTGTGCTGGGCACTGGGGAGGCAGCCCCACGTGGACAGGACAGCATGGGCCTTGCCCTCACCGACTCCACAGTCCAGGTCTGGCCACCGTCAGACCCCAACCAGGCTGGCACATGGCTCTGCTGGAGTGGCACCCTGCGCTCTCAGGTCTTGACCTGGTGTCTGGGGCTCTTGGTCCTAGGAAGGGCCATATCAGGAAGGGTGGGGCGGAGGAGGGAGGAAGAACAGAAGGTTAACTGACTGGAACATGCAGGGACCTGGTGACCAGGAGCTTTCATAAAAGAAGAGGGCTGAGGGGAGGAGGGACATATATTTAGAAAGAAAGAGCCTGCCCAATTTAGTGGAGAGAAGAAGGGGAAAAAAGCGCGAGTCCCCACGGTAACCTGTTTGCAGGAGCTGCCTAATTTAGCAGAAAATCATACACACTGGCCCTGGCACGGGCTGATGGAAGGTATTTCCTCCCTAGCCTGGGTCAAGTTTCATTCATAGGTACTGTCTAAAATTAGACCCTCTGCTTTCATTCTGGTCCAAACTCCCTGCCTAGCGTAATATTTGGGAGAAACAGGCACTCCATTAAAAGTGCGCCTTCCTCCCAGCGGCCCCTGGCCTGGGAAGGGCCGGGTCCCGTCCTCGCTGGCGGCCGCTGCGGCTCATAAACCCGGGTCTAAATTCAAAGCATCCGCTCTGACTGGTGACCTCTGGCTCCCTGGCAAGCCCACGTCTCCTCCCCCAGCTCACACCCTGGGCCTGGCCAGGTCACTGGGAGGGACCCATTTCATGCCTGTGACTTTTTGTCCAGAGGAGTGTGGGGGCAACTCGTCCTCAGTGCGGGAAGAGGGGCTTCACGCCCCTGGGACTATGCGCCGGGGCCTCTTGCTCGGGCATGGCCTGCTGTCCTCTCTCCTGGGCTCAGGACCTGCGAGCCGGGCTGGCCCGTTTTATTGTTATTATCGTTATTTTCCAAACTAACACAGCATCAAGGAAAGACTCCATGAGACAGGGGAATCGGCACCATGCTTGGACCACGTTATTCATTTAGTAAATATTTACCGAGCATCCTGTATTTGGAGTCTTTGGTTGTGCGTAACAGAAATGAGGACACTGGGGAGCTCCTGGCCTTCCAGGGTCAGACGTGAGCCAGGGATGGGCTGGAATCCCTGCCCGAGCATGGGGTGGGGGGGAGCCCAGGGAGTGCTTTCTCTTTGTCTCTTGTCTCTCTTTCTCTCCCAGCAGTGGCTTCAACTCTTCTCTTTCTACCCAGGGGTGCTTTTGCTCCTCAGTCTTCACAGCAGAACGTGGTTCCCGTTTCAGATGGTCTCAGTTCTACTGACTGCTCTTTCTGGGTTCCAATTCCAAAGTCCCAGGGAAGGTTTCTAATTGGCTTAGCTTCTATTGGATGCCTGCCTCTAGGCCAATAAACAGCTGTCAGGGCGGGGCATTGACTGGCGTGGTGATTCTGCTGTAACCACGTGAATGGCACAAAGAGGAGACATTCCCAGGAGTAAAGAGGCTATTTTAGCACTATGCAGTTGCCGCTCTGCGAGTGGCTAGTGGGAACACAGAGAAGGATCTTAGCCCAGGCCTGGCAGGTTAGGGAAGGCTTCCTGGAAGACCTGGAAGGTGACCTCTAAGCTAGGTAAGTGGGATTTAGTCAGGATCTGAGAAGGAAAAGTAGAGAAGGCTGTTCAGAGAATGGCCCAGGCAAAGATCTCAAGGCAAGACCCAGACCAGCTGTGCTGACCTTGGGCAAGTGACATCGCTCTCTGAGCCTCAGTTTCCTCATGTGTAAATGGGAAGCCTAACACCATTCTCTGGAGTTGGGACTAATAAGCTCCTGTCTGCAACAGTGCCTGGCGGGTGTGGGTGGGGGGGCAGCTTGGTGTGTGTGTGTGTGTGTGTGTGTGTGTGTGTGTGTGTGAATCCATTCATTAGCTCTGGGTGTGGGGCCCTTTGTGGGCAGGTAGTGGTCCACCGGCTGGTTCCTTCACACCTGCAGGTCTCAGCTTAGACATCACGGGGACATCGCTAGAGAAACCTTCCAGTTCAAAGGCTTTCATGCTTGTGCTGAAAGCATCCACAAAACCAGGGTGGAATCCCAGCCACCCTGTTCTCTAAGGCTCCTCCGACCAGGCTTTTGACGTTGGGAAGGGAGGGGCTTAGGCCTGGAGCCCTCGCTCTGTCCCCAGCCTCTCCCGGACATTAAGTCCCAGGGCTGGAATGGCAGTTCCTCCCCCTCTGTGCCTCACTCATCCCTGCTGCCCCGCTCCATGCCGCCGAGGAGCAGACTGACCACTGGGGGGATGGGCGGGGCCTGGCCAGGCGGCCCCTCACCAGCCCTGGGGTCATGTCTTGGCATCAGCCCGGCGGAAAGACTCACCCCCACTTCCCAGGCCGCCGTTGACTCCCTCCCAGCCTCCCGTGGCAGACTCTAAGATGAGGACGTAAGTACAAATCGTTTATTGGGAAGGTGATTCTGGAAAGTGCTGGCAAGGGCAGTGGTGCCACGACACAGGAAAGGCCACTTCTGGGGCAGCTCCCAGTGTGGGCACGAGGCTCCGCCTGCCCCTCCGAGAGGTGTAGACAGCACGCCTTCCAGCCAGCCCGCCAGGCCGGAGCAAGGGCGGCACCACTGGGCCCCGCGGCCCTGGGGCCCCGCAGTGAGCACTATCTGCCCACACCGTGGCCTGGCCCGTGTGCAGGAAACCTTCAGATGGGCCGTGGGAGCGTCCAGCTGGGCCCCCGGGTCAACGTGCGGGCGCACACGGCAGGGCTGACGGCAGCTGCCCTCGGAGTAGCCCCGCCACCCCCAAAGCTCCCACCGGCTGTTGACAGCCCTGCACCCAAAGGACCCTCCTGGTCCCTGACAGCTGACTTCCCACTGCTCCACCAAGCCCTGATGAGTCTCCCACCCCACGCCCCAGGACCCCTGACACCCCCACTTAACCTTCCGCTGACCCCTGCTCCCTTGGCCCGACTCCTCCCGTGACCTCTGCGTAAGGGTTTGGGGGTGTAAGTGGGACTGGGCTAGACGTCCTCGCCGAGACAACAGAGGGTGGGTCCGTTTCCTGAATGTCTCCTCCGGGGAGCTTCTGTGGCCGGTGAGTCAGGTTCTCCGCCTCCCCCACCGGCCCCCTCCCCGGCTCAGGCTGGGCCTGGCTCCCACCCCGCCCCCGCCCTGCCTGCTTCCTCCGGTTTCCCCGCTGAGCCACGGGGGTGGGCAGGCCCGGTGCACCCCAGTGGGCCCTGCAGCTGCGCCGGGTCGTCCTTAGGCGCCTTAGAGACAGGTGTGCGGTGATCTGTGGGGCCCACCAGGTCCTTGAGGCATCAGGTGGCCCAGTTCTCTCGGGGCCTGGGAGAGGGAGAGGGGACAAGGGAGGGAGCACAGGGACGCAGCCTGACTGGGGCGCCGTCGCTGCTGCGTGCTGCTCTGAGGAAAGCTGGTCACCCCCATTTTACCGTTGAGAAAACAGAGGCTCGGAGAAGGCAAGTCACTCAGCCACGGCCACACAGCGGCCAGTTCTGGCTCCAAGGCCCAGCGTCCTGATTCCCTGGGATTGCTAGGAAGCAGCGTGTGCCCGGCACTGCGCTGCCCAGCCACAGCGGGAATGTCACCCGGGCCACCCCAGGGAGCCCGTGCCACCCACCGTCTGTCTGCGCCAGCCTGGACCTCTGGGACAGCCGCCCGGCCTCCCCTCCCACTCCTGCCGCTGCGGCCCCCACCGCACAGCGGCCAGGGGAGCTCAGGAAACAGTTCCGAGAGCGTCAGTTCCTGCTAACGACTGTCCAGTGCCTTTCCACAGCCTGGGGGGAAACCAGAACTTTCCACGAGGCCTGCAAGGCCTCCCGGGCTGGCTCCCGTCTCCCGCGTCGCCCTCCCTTCCTGGACTCCGTGTCCTGCCCGCCGCACCCACGTGTCTCCCGGCCGCCTCCCGACGCCACAAGGTCCTCTATGGCAGGGCCGGCCCTGCGGGGGCACGGCCTCCCTGCCACCTGGAGAAGCAGCCTGCCAGCCCTTCAGTCCCAACCGTGGAACCGCTGGCTCTCATGTCACCGGGCTTTGTTTCCTCCACAGGCCTCTCACCACCTGACGTGTCTTCCCACTTACTCAGCAGCCAGCTCGTTCACTGTCCCTCGCCACACCGGAACAGGGCTCCGCGAGCGCAGGCGCCTTCCTGCCTGTCCTGCTGCTGTCCCCAGCACGTGGCGGGGCTCTGGCCAGGAGGCATCGGTTGAATGAAGGACTGGCCGTCATTGTCAATATGCCATGTGAGGTGACTTAGAGCCACTCAAGCAGACCCCACCAGCTGGCCTTCGCTGCCCTTCCAGCCTGTCTCCCTACACGGGGTGAGCTGCATCCTCAGCCTCAAAACTGCCCTTGCTGGGCTTGCCTGGCGCACTGCCTCGGTGGTCATGAAACACGGTCAACTTCATGAACAAAGATGTGAAAAAAAATTAATTTTAATTAATTTATTTTTTTTCGAGACAGAGTCTTGCTTTGTTACCTGGGCTAGAGTGCAGTGGCGTTATCATAGCTCACAGCAACCTCAGACTCCTGGGCTCAAGAGATCCTCCTGCCTCAGCCTCCTGAGTAGCTGGACAACAGGTGTGTACCACCACGCCCAGCTAATTTTTCTATTTTTTTAGTAGAGATGGGGTCTCACTCTTGCTCATGTTGGTCTCAAACTCCTAAGCTCAAGCGATCCTCCCACCTCAGCCTCCCAGAGTGCTAGGATTATAGGTGTGAGCCACCGCGCCCGGCCTCAATTCAGGTTTTTTAGGTCACCTCAAGATCGTTGGCTAAACAAAGACTTTTGATGAGTCTTTTTCTAAGTGTCTTTCTGGACATCACTCCAAGTTTTTGGTTTTGTCTCCTTTAGTACCTTTGTAAGGTTTCCATGCTAGCACCTGCTTCCCTCACGCAGAAGAAAGGAGCCGGGCCGAGTTGCAGTCCCAGCTCACCCGAGGAGGGAAGTTCCCTCCCAGCAATCGTGGGTTGGGATTGGTCATGCATGTATAGTTTCCTTGGCCCTAGAAAGACTCACCTCTCTGGGCCTCTTGTTCTTGTGTTTGGCAAAGCCCGAGGGAAAGGCAGTGACTAGCCATCGGTCTCTTGCATCTTCGTCAACATGGATCTAAGACGGACATTTCCCTGCCATATGGGGAAAGGGGGAACGCCAACATTAGGAACGTGGGAAGTGCCGTTTTTCTTCTTTATGACTGACTTACTAGTGGGTCTGGGGCTTCTCTTTGGAGTGACGAAAACGTTCTGGAATTACATAGTGGTGATAGTTGCACAGCTTTGTGAATATGGTACTAAACAACACTGAATTGCGCACTTTAAAAGGGTAAGTGTTATGGTTCACGAAGTATATTTCAATTTTTAAAAAGGATCTTTAAAAACTGAGTTAACAGTCACTTGCCTCCGCCCTTTGCCATCTGTGCTCTTCTGCTGGCCTGAGACCTGGACTCTGTCCCTGCCCCTCCCTGAATCCGGCCCCTGGGCTGAAGCTCACTCTGCGGAGGAGCTGGCCGGGGAGCCCCTGTGAGCCACAGGCCCTTCCTGCTGAAGGGTGGATTTATGGCCTGGAGGCCCCCAGCTTAAAAATGGGTGTGGGATGGGGCCAGCGGACAGAGGCTGCCACAGGGGTAAGCAGCGACTGGAAGTGGGAATGTTTTCTTTCCTAACTCCAGGAGAAAAAAGGGGTAGTGTAGTCTCAGATGAAGAGGGACAAGATTCTTGTATTTTGGATTTGGTAGCTGAAAAAGATCATTGAAATGATTTTAAGCGACAGAGTGGATAGTAATTCCTTTTATAATTGGGGTTCTGCTAGATCTACATTTGATTTTTAAAAAATTATTAGTTCGGAATAATTTCGGCTTCGTTAGCACTTTAAACTGAGCGCCTCGAATCTCCGGAGAGCAGATAGCACACTGGCTCATACTCGCAGAGGAAGTCTTCCCCCTACCCCTTCTGCAAGGGAGGGAAGTGAGGGGAAGGTCTCTTGTTCTGCAGCTAGGCAGCGTTCCTTTTGTACTCTCTAGTTAGGAGAGAGGAAAGGATGGTAAGCTTTGTTACAGAAGAAATTATCTAAGTCTTCAAATGATAAATACTTTTAACTGTGAAGGCATTTTGAGAATTCTTTATCCTCAGTACAGTGCATTTTCTCAAACTCAGTATTTAATCTTGTATAAAAGTTTGGAATAATTCTATTTAAGTGTCAGAAGCCCAACTCAACGTGGCTTAACTGAAAAGGAAGTTTATTGGTTCATGTAAACTAAAGCAGTCAGGGTTTCAGGCATGGCTTGATCCAGAGCATCAGAAAAAGATCATCAGCTCCCAGTTCCTTCTTCTCCATTTCTTGGCTCTGCTTACAGTGTTCTGATTCTACTTTCAGAATGAACTTTCCCTTATGGTGGCATGGTTCCAGCACTCATGCCTTCCCAGGTTCAAGTTCCAGTAAGGGGCTAGCTGTAACTCATCGATCCTGGCCAATTACCATGGCCAATAGAATGAGATGTTAGAATTGGCTAAGCCTGTATCATATACCCATTTCTGGCGTAAGGATGGATTAACTATTGGACTGAAAGTGGGCAATAATGTAGTTCTTTGGAAAGAAATCATTGTATGTTTACTGGGAGAGGTGTGAGTAGATGTTGGGTATTAAGGACAGCAGATGCTCACAATAGTACATTATGCAGACAAAAAGCTTGGCCTGCTGTCTGAGGTCTAAACCCAGTCCTACCATTATTAGCCATGTGGTTTTTCCCAAGCTCAAGCTTTTCATTTGGAAAACAGGGATAATACCTCTGTCATAGGGTAGTGAGGATTAAATAAGATGATCCCTGCAAAACACTTAGCACAGTGCCTGAACTCCCCAGAACTCTTTAAATGATAATGACTTCTATATCAGGCCTGACCCATCAAACCATTCCTTTCTTTCATCTGCTGCATGGATGTTGCTCTCCAAGGTAATCTTGGAAGCCTCAGGTTGAAGGTGGGGGAGTTGCCACCATTCTGGGTCCCTGAGTGACCCCCTGGAGCAGAGGCCTCTCTCTGCCCCACCCCCACCACAGCTCAGCTTCTTTGTCTTTACAAAGAAGTAAGTTCTCCTGAGTGAAGCCATTGAAACGTTGAGGTTTGCATACCTTGATTATACAGAACATCATGTTTTATATACTTTAAGTATGTATTATAGAGCTTATAATTTAAAAGAAAAAAGGAACGCAGGAAAAGAAAATGAAGGCCACATGGAGATCATGGAAATAACAAGAAAACAAGAGAACCTGCCAGATTCAAAGCATCTACAGTTCTTACTTCTGGAGCAGGTTACAGCTGGGGGAGGGGCAGAGTTAGGGGCTGCTTTCTGGCCTCTAAATTTTCCTAATCCCTTTGGAGACTCTGTCATCTGGGTCGAAACACTGAAATCTTCTTTCTGAACCACTTCTCCAGGGCGAAGTGAAGCTGAGCGGGGAGGACGGGTCATAATAACGGGAGTTCACCATGGCTGCTGCCCCACAAGCCCCACACCACGCTGGCCCACTGGTCCTCCAACCCCCAGGGGGTATCTTTGCCTCTAGGTGAGAGGCGAGGCAACTGAGGATCTAAGTCACACAGCTTGGAGCACCAGCACTGTGCTGCTTACCTGCCGGCCAGGCTGACAGGTGAGCGGGCTCTGCCCAGAGGAGGCATCCGGGGACTGTGACATCTGCCCAGAAGTGGCCGTGGCAGAGGGGGGTGGGGGGTGCAGGTGGGGGTGAACCCACGACACAGCCCTTAGGTCACTCCTCGGGCTCCCTCCCAGCCACCGCAGCGGGGCGGGAGTCCACACTGGGAGGGCCGCTTCCGTGGGGGCTGAACCCTCTCGCTTTCCAAGTCTCATTCTTGTAACCCAGTTTCTGGCTGAGTCCCGTATTTCTCCATCACTGTCACCCAGGTGATTCCAGCCTGTGTCAGCTCTCAGAAGAGTCTCTTACATCATCTTCTTGAAAGTTTTTGCTTAAAAAGTTAAGGTTTGAGGCCTCCCACCTGCCCCTGCCAATCACTCCGTAGCTGCAAGTAGAGGACCCAGAGCTGTTTTGAGGCCCCGTTCAAGGTCTTGAAGCAAACCAGCCCCTCCCACGCCCTGGGGAGCTCTCTCAGGGCCCGAGGACAGGACATGGCTGATGGAGGGGCGCTAAAGCCACCCATGGCTGCAGACTCTTTCCTTTAAACACATGGCCCCTTCCTCCATCCCTTTCTCTGGCGCTCCGTTATGGACGGGGAGACACGCCTAAGACTGTGCCCACATACCTCGGGCTATTTCATTCACGTGCAATTGGTTACGGGGAGGAGGTGGGCAAGTTCTTTCCACTGGAGAAAGTATATAATTGTGATGTGGCCCAGTCCCCTTCCTGCTTCCCCCAGGAGAAGTCACAGTCAGGGATGGAGCATTCAAAACCCAAACTCTACCCTGGAGGAGGCTGCAGGCTGGGTGGGGACGCAGCCTCAAGGAGGTTTGGCTTCAGCATGACGGGATGTGGCTTCCCTCTGACCTCCACCGTTCCCAGGCCACTCGGGGGGGACTATGCTGCTCTTCAGCACTGGTGAGACAGAAGAAAGCCAAAGGGCACAGCGCAGGACAGAGAGTTTTCTGGGTCTGTTTTACAGGAAAGATATTTCTGACAAGTGCACTAAAATTCCGTGGAGTCTCCCAGGCTCACTCATCTCAAGTAATGACCACCAAGGACGGTCCCCAGCTCCAGCCTCTTGGGAGGCAGCATGGGTGGCTCTCCATCCCAGGATTTAGGGGCCTGAACTCTGGGGATACACAGACCTGTGTTCAGATCCAGAATCCAGTGCTTCCTAGTGGTGTGGCCTTGGGCAAGTCATTTGACCCCCCTGGGTCTCTGATATGCCATGAAGTTGCCCAGACTAACAGTGCCAGGACATGAATGGCTTAGTGCAGAGCTCTCATTATTTTGTTGTTGGTGTAGAGAAGATTGGTCTCTATGATTATGCTAGAAAAAGACTGGCGGGAGTGCCGGGTGAGAGGCTGGAACTGGGAGAGACTGAGACGGGGAAGCCTGGGCACAAGGGAAAGGAGGAGGGGCGACTTCCCCAGGGCCCAGAGCCAGGGAGCCCCCAGAGAGAGGTCAGCCAAGCTGTGAGTTAGTCACATGCAAGATGTGGGGAGAAGTGTCCTGGGCTCTGTGGGTGGACACTAAGGGCCGGCACACGGTTGCTAGCGCCCCCGACCCCCAACCCGCCCCGGCCCCACCTCTGCTAGGAAACACTCATCTCACGGAACTCATTGCCGCTGTCCAGGGGCACTTCACTGCCTGGGTGAGTCGTGCAGCTTCGTAGGGGCAGAGTCCTGCTTTTGCCTCCACGCTGAGAACAGACAGATCTGTGCCTCAGGATGGACTTACATCGAAGGAGCCCTCGAGGCTGATGTAGATAAGGTGAGAACCAGAGCTGCCACTCAGACCAGATTCGCACAGTGGCCTGAGCAGCCCGGCCCCTGGAATTCCAGAGGAGGCCCAGGCACAATCAGAAGGTGGCAGAAGTTCAAACTTCTGTGTGGTAAGAAGGTCAAACAGGTCAGGCGTGGTGGCTCACACCTGTAATCCTAGCATTTTGGGAGGCTGAGGTGGGAGGGTCGCTTGAAGTCAGGAGTCCAAGATCAGCCTGAGGAAGAGCCAGACCCCATCTCTACAAAATACAGAAAAATTAGCTGGGCATGGTGGTGAGTGCCTATAGTCCCAGCTATTCGGAAGGCGGAGGCAGGAGGATCACTGGAGTCCAGGAGTTTGAGGTTTCGGTGAGCTATGATGACAACCACTGCACTCTAGCCCAGGCAACAGAGCAAGACTCTGCCTTGGGGCCGGGGGAAAGGTGAAATAGCACAGAGTAGATCCTCCAAAGGAATCTCACTTTCATCTCTGACTCCCAGTTCCCTGGTTTACCTACCTGGAGGCAATCATTTATAAGCATATGTATATAAATATGTACATATTTATATATACAGGTTTGTGGGTATGTGTTTTACACAAATATTAGCATGTCATAAACATTTTTCTGTGCTATGCTTTTCTAAACTAACACTATATCTTTGAGGTGGTTTCACACACATCTACCTTATTCATTTTAACAGCCACATAATGTTGCATTGTATGGATGCACTGTGATTCATTTAAACAGTCCATTGTTGATAAACATTTAGGGTATTTCTACTTTTTTGATGCCTACATAAAATGCAGCAAATGCTATTATAATGATAGTAATGATAATGGTTAACATTTGCTGGGCTGGTACCTAGGAACTGTTTTGTATGTCCCCCCCCCATTAAATAATTTAATCTTCAAAATAAATCTAGATTGCAGGTACTATTATTATCATTTTATAGATGAAGAAACCAAGTCACAGAGAAATTAAACACCTTTCCCACTTCTTTGTACATGAGGTATTATGTTTAAAGAATAAATTCCTAAAAGTGTATTTTAAATTTTGATAGATTTTACCAATTCGCCCTTCTAACGCATAGTACTAGTTTATATTCTCATCAACCTCATATAAAAGTTTCTATTTTCCTTATATATTTCATGTGTATTTAACAGGATAGGAGAAAACTTGTATCTTGTTATGGTTTAATTTGTATTCTTTTTATTATGAGTAAAATTGATCATCTTTTTATCTCTTTAAAGTCATCTTGTTTATTTTTCCTTAAACTATTAAAGTCTTTTCGTCATCTTTTCTACTAGATTGTTGACCTTTTCTTTATTACTTTATAAGAACTCTTTATATATTAATAACCTACATTCTTTCCTTTAAATTATTTCATATAAAATGTATTATAAATTACATCACACAGAGAGAAGATTATAGATAACATATAAGTCCAAGATAAAGAACCATAATACGATGACAACACAGGTGCCCTCCATCAGGTTAGGGAATGGGACATTTCCAGTAACTCTGAAGCTCCCTGTGGCATTTCTGATTATATCCTGTTATCCTGAAGTTTATGCTAATCATTGCTTTCCTTTTCTTTGCATTTTTACCATGTAGTTTATCGTATGTAGAAAAACTTCCTGATTTTAAACTCCCTGTAAATAGAATTATAATGTGTGTATTTTCTTGTGCCTTTCTTCTTTCACTCTCATTATGATCTTGAGAGGCATCCATGTTTGTGCACAGAAGCTGGGTTTCATTAATTATCAGTGCAATTGGGTGTTTTATGATTATGCCATTTACATGTGAAAAGTCAAACCCACCAGCAGCATGTAAGAATTCCCATTACCTTCACATTCTCTCCAGCATTTGGTGATGTCAAACTCTGATGGGTACACAAGGGTATCTCATTATGATAGTAACTGGCATTCCGAAGATGATAGAGGTTGAACATGTTTTCATATTTTATGGGCCACTGAAGTTTCCTCTTCTCCAAAGAGGTAATTACTTTTATCCATTTTCTATTGTATATTTTGACTTTTCCTTGTTGATTGATTGGTGTTCTTTGTATGTGCTGGATATTAGTCCTTTGTCAGTTACACGTGTCACAAATATATTCAATTGGTGGCTTTTCTTTTCACTCTCTTTATGGTATCACTTTATGAACAGAAGTTCTTGATTTTTAACCTAGTCAAATTTATTGTAATTTTTAATGACTTTTGCTCTTTGCATTTTGTTTAAGGAATCCTTCCTTTCTCTGAGGTCAAAATAGTATTCTCCTTCATTGTCTTCTAAAATTTTTAGAGTTTTACCTTTTGAATTTAAAGCTTTAATCCACCTGAAATTGACTTTTGTTATGCTGTGGTGTAGGAATCCAGTTTTATTCTTTGGCCATGTAGGTAGGCAATAATCCCGGGATCATGTCTATCTTTTGTCACTTTCCCCTTCAATTCCACTCTGGCATAAACTAAGACTCTTTATTTGCATGGCTCTGTTTCTGGCATTTCTGTTCATTTATATTGGCCTATTTGCCTGTTCCTACACCTATAGCTCACTTACTTGTCATAGCTTTCTAATAAACCTTACTATATGATAAAGCAAATTCTCCCCTAGCTCTTCCTTGTCCTTCTTCAGGAGTGTTTTGGCTGTTTATGGCTCTTTATTCTTCTATGTGAATCTTAGAATCAGCTTTCAAGCTACGTGAAATACTCTGTTGAGGTTTTATTTGGAATTGAACCCAATCCATAGATTGGTTTTAAGAGAGATGGTGTATTTATGATATTGAGACTTCCTCAAGAAAATGGCACTTCTCCCCATTTCCTGAGGTTTTCCTTAATGTCTTGCAACATGGATTTATAATTTTTTCCCCAAAGAGTGCATCTCTTGTTAAATTTATTCTTAAAACTTTATGTTTCTCATTCATTGTAAATGCCATTTAAAAAAATAAATTACATTTTGTAAAAAATGCCATTGTTTGGTGAGTATTGACTTTGCATCCAGCAATCTTTCTATGCTTGTTATTACCTGTCTTGTTACCTATCTTGTTATTTTCTAATTTATCTAGACATTATTTGAGTTTGCTACCTGGTCAACCCTATCATCTGTGAATAGTGATAATTTCATTTATTTCAAATCTTTAAAACTTCTATTTCTTTATCTTCTCTTATTTCACTGGTTGGAACATCCAGTATAATAGTGAATAGAAGTGATGATAGTATGTGTACTAGCCTTGTTCTGAAGAAGGGAGTGGTTTCAGTATTAAACATGAGGTTTGCTATAGATTTTTAAAACATACTTTTTATATGGATAAGAAAGTCTCTAGTTCTAATTGCTAAGAGTTTTATTATGAATAAATGTTGAACTGATCATATGTTTTTTTCCCTTAACTATGTTTATATGATGAACAACATTAGTAGATTTACTAATATTGAATTAAAATTTCATTCCTTGGATGGATTTGGTAAAGTTGGGTTTTTAATATGCATTGCTGGAATCTGTTTGATAAAGTTTTGTTTAGGGTTTTTACATTTATCTTCAAAAATGAGGTAGGTTCCTTCATTGTGCTATCATTTCCTGACTTTCTAACCAAGACTAGGTTAAGCTCATAAAATGTTCTTTTTCCCCCTCTACTCCTTGAAAAAGTTGAAGATTGAATCACCTGGTGAGTAGATTACTGATGATTATATAAAAATGTTTGACCCTGAGTTTCTTCATAGGGAGATTTTAAACTACTGATTCAATTTTTTTTGTGGTCATTGAGTTACCTGAATTTTCTATTTTTTCTTGAATCAAGTTTAATGAGTTATATTATCTGAGGAATTTGTGCCTTTGTCTATGATTTCCAATAAATTGGCAAAATTTTTCATAGTATCTTTGTATTGTCAGTTTAATATCAGTAGCATCTGTTTTTAGGGTTTTTTCCCTGTCTTTAATATTGTTTATTGTGCTTTTTCTTCTTTTTTGCTTAGTATGATGAGAGATTTGTTTATTTTATTAGTCCTTTCAAAAACTTTTGGCCTTGCTGATACTTTTTATTATATGTTTTATTTTTCAATATTTTTTCATGTTATTATATCTCTTCTCTTATTTTCTTTGGTTTGTGCTATTGATTGCTTAGGCTATTAATGTCGAGCTTTCTTTTTTTAAATTTAAACATTTA